ACTTGTTCTTAAGAACGAGGAACGCTTTAGTGGTCGAACAGTCTCTAATTGCGTCCAACGGTATTGAGGTCATTGGGGATTGTATATACGAGATAAAACAAATTAAACAACAAAAACAACAAAAACAACAACAAACATTTAACGCTACTCTTCCTTACACCCAATCTCTTCCGAGAGTCTACGGATGTTCATCTTCATCATTTCTAAATTTTAAGCCTCCCTTTATACGTCATAACTTTCAGTTTCTGCAAAAGTTTAAAAGGATGTTCTTAATTACTAAGCTTTATATCTTCTTCGCTTTTATCGGCTCAGTTTTTTTGATAAAATCGTAAATAGCCTTCTGGCTTTCGCCATTGCTTTTTTCAGAGGTTTCCAGATCATAATAAAATTTGCTTGGTAAATGATCTTATTCTTTTTCGTCGTCCTTCATTGTAATCAGTCGTTTGGTGACTTGTTGCTGGACTTGTTTCTTTACAGTTTTAATTGCAAATTTTGAATTTGCAGGTTTTCGAGAATAAAAATTTACGGTTAATGACCGTTTCCGATTAAGAACCAATCAGGACAGATTCATCTCAGCACTTCCTTGTTATATGATACAGAATTTTGCGGAATTTTTAATTTCTGTAACTTGAATCCTAAGGCGTAACGTGAGCGACAGTGCCAGAGAAACAATTGCTTAAAGGCCCTGAGCTGGAATGTGAAATGAACAAAAGAATTGAGTCTAGTGTTTTGTAGACGTTTAAGCTGCTACGGAATTGTTTATCGTGAAAATAAAATGTTTGAATTCAATATAGTTTGTAACCACATCGTACACGTGCGTTCACTATATTTGAGTTTGCGCCGCAAAATTTTAAACGGCCAGGCCGGCGTGTTGACGCGCCAACAGAATAAGCTCGTTTCCTGTAGTGTTTGCTCAAATTTAACTGGGCAGGTTTTTCAAGACATTGAGAAATATCATTTTTTCCCTTACTGATAACACTTGCATCGTCATGCAGTTTGGCGAACCAGTCAGGTTCCGATCAAATGCTTTCAGGATGAAACGTCAACTGTCGTGCTATATAGCGGCATAAAACTGAACTGCATGAAATTTGCATGCAAAATGGTGCTCGACTTTATAAAGCGAAATGCAAAATCAAGCATCAAATGGAGAATGTTTTAATTCTTCGAAGTTATAAGGTTGTGGCTGAAATGATAGAGAATACCTCGCAATATAGAGTCAGTATCAATTGTGGTGTCAGCTTTAACCTTTCTGATCGGCGCTATCTGTAACTGATAGTTGACACTTCAATAGAAGAGACTCTATGTCGTGGAACAAACCATTCAATTTTCATTAACCAGAATGTGTATGTTTGACAGGCTTCTTCCAGATAGTTTATTTACATAAGTATCTGAAATTCTAAGGGATTCTGTTTCAATTAATAACAAGTTCGTTGACAAAAAGAATTCCGCTTTGTAAAATTCTCGTTATCCAGTTCTTCACTTTTTTGAGTACTGTCGTGCGCATGCTAGATTTTAACACTTCTTAGGGTATTCACAATTAGGGTATTCAAGTTTTGCGAGGGTTTTTATAATGAAAAGCTTGTAGCTCTGCAATTTTTTTAAAAAACCAAGGAAGGCATGAGACACGATAGACATGTATATGTCGTGTCACCATCTTTATCTACTTTCGCCACATTAGCGTATTCAGGTTAACACCAGATTCTCGAGTAACGTTCTTTTATTTCCTTGCAGATATGACACAAGGCTATATTCCTCGTGAGCATGTTAGATTTTAACACTTTCTAAGGTATCAGTCAAGTTTTTTTTCTATTTCTGTAGAGGTAGCTCAAAAGGAGTTAATCACCATAATAATAATATTCACAATCTTAAAATTTTTGTTCGTCGATGTTAAAACTTACTTTGAATAAGTTTCTCTGAGAAGTCCTAGTTAAATATTGAGCGGTAACTCAAGCTCCAACCAATTACATTCGGCCGCGATACAAAACAGTTTGAAATGACTACGTTTTGAAGGCTAGTTTCCATTTGCGTGGGAGGAAGAACTTCACTAAAAGATACTAATGCAAACTGTACCTGGTTAAATGAAAATCGTATAGCTGAAGAAACGGTGGAAAATATGTAGAAAAATTTTCGTGGAGGAAAAAAAGTTAGGCAATCATCGTAGGTGGATTTTAAGGTTGACAGCATAAGAAACTCGCCCTTTCGCACTGGCGCCTAGAAAATAACCTTTATCTATCTATACATTTTAAAAGAGCTCAAAAGCTATATGAAAATAATAAACTCTCAGAATTGTTCTTAAAAGTTAATGTCGCAGTAATATATAAAGACGTTTCTAGACTTAATAACAGCTGCGGATTTTTATTCCTACACCCTTTTAAACAAAAGTAGCCTTAAATTTGAAAATAAAGGAAAATTAAAAAGGACCGACAGCTGTGTTTCGATAGAGGTATTCTACAGCCTTGCCGCTAATCTTCAGTAATTATGTCACTATAAGCGCGTAAACGAACTCAAAATGTTTCGCAACCCTTCCCGGCTATGAAATTCACTTTGATCAAGAAAGAGACGAAAAATC